CTTGCATCGTATGTCTAGCAGTTACATGTTCTATGACGGTTTACATACATGTCTTATTTACATCTTAGATCCCCTCCCTGGGGCAGTCTCTAAGCCCCTCTCGGTCATCCTTTGGTCAGGGTGTGATTTTTTTACATCAACATTTTTCCCTGTCCCTCTTTGCTTATCTCTCGTAAGGAGTTATTTATTGCACCCGTTCCTGGCTCCGTCTGCAGAAGTTTTAGTGCTACTCGTAAATCAATTAGTAGCCTACATGCCTTAGCAGAAGCGATTGTGAAAACATGCAGAAGCAATTTACAAAAGCAGGATGTATAGCTTATGCTATATTTTTACCACACCTGCACTTCCAAATGGCGGTGGGGGCGCTTGAATTAAAGCTCAAATAAGTTTTAGTTCAAGCGCCCCTGCTGCCATTTGGAAGCGCAGGGAGGGTGATACATGAGATGCGGTGGCGGCAGCTCTCCAAGCTGCTCTAATTAAAGTGCCACACCCTACCCCCAGAGCACCTGTAAAAGCATCCTCCATTGTGAGGTACTGGGAAAATATGCATTAGCCTGGCTTAACCCACATTAACTAAAGCAAACGCTTTTAAAGTGGTGCTTAATGCGCATTAGCCTATTTGAGTAATTGAGCGTAGTTTTTTTTTACCTGACTCTCTAATGCACATTCAAATAGACTAAAGCATACTTGTAGACAAGCCCAGGGTTCACATTACAGGAGAGCTAGGGGGGACTGAAGCCAGTGGCGACACGTAGGGGGTGCACAGGGGTGCATGTACATCCCCTGAGAGCATTGGTGCTCCCCCCTCCCCACCCACAGGCTGCACTCCCTGCTGAGGTGATGGGCAGGCGGGAACGCCGGTACCCACCCTGTGAGCGCTGGCCCAGGAGTGGGAGCACCAGATGAAATGCCATATGGAACGCTGTGGCCATTTCCCCATTGGCACAATTGGCCATAGGGGACCCCCCCCTCCCATTGGTGAGACTGGCTGGGAGGGCGCTAGCCCCCCCAACTAAGGTGTCACCAGTTGCCCATAGGTTGAGCCCCTCTCTATGATTTGAAAATCATAACCTGGGGGAAAGGCTGGGGGGTGGAGCAAATCAGGGAGACTGCCCCAGGCCCTGCTGAGGCGAAGCCAAGCAGACTTTGCCTCCAGCCAATCGCTGTGGCTAGGGCCTGTACCCTGCTATGGTTGTCCCCAAACAATCTTTTGGAAAAACTATTTTTAATCCTATCTAATTTGGGACTCAAAGTGAGACGGCACACAGGATGTGTGGTTTTTATTGACACAATGTGCCTGGGTGCCAGGCAGCGTGATGGGCTACCCAACTTTTTTTGCAGAACCTCCCCCAAAGTGTATCTTGAAGTGGGGTGGCACCTTATGCTTTGAGGGGAGGAATTGGCAGCCCGTGCGAAGAGATGAGCGGGAGGAGGAGGAGGCAGCTGGGGGCACGAGGGGCAGAGGCTGAGGGCAAGGGGTCGAGGCAGGCGGCGGGAAGGGCGCTCGCGGTCGCGCTCGGGCTGTCTCAGGGGGAGGCTTCTTCATTCGCCTGTTCATTGTTAAGGCCGCTTGTAGAGGCCCGGAAGGCTTGTGCCGGCGCGTCGCCCTCAGGCCCGGCCTGTGCCGGGGAGCCGCGGCTACGGGCGCGGCGGGGGGGGGGAGG